CGAACCTGTTGCTGAGGGCTATGTTAAATTCGTTGAGTTTGTCAGCATCTCGAAGAAAGGCCGTGTTAAACTTTTGTGATGTTGTCCGCGCCATTGTCCAGTGCTTCTTGAGTTTTAGTTTCATCTTGGCGACCAGCAAATGGTGATCGGATGCTATATCAGCTCCTCTTCTGGTTCTCACATCCTCCATCGTCCTCCTGAACTTTTTGTTGATGCAGACATGGTCGATTTGATTCTGTGTAGTATGATCCGGTGAAATCCAAGTGGCTTTGTGTATGTTTTTGTGTGGGAATATGGTGCCACCTATGACCAGTTTATTGAAGGCACATAGGTTTGCAAATCTCTCACCGTTTTCGTTCCTTCCTCCCAGTCCATATTGTCCCATGACGTCTTCGTATCCAGTGTTGTCCTTTCCAACTTTGGCATTGAAATCTCCCATTAGAATGGTCAGGTCCTTGGTTGGGCACTGCTCGAAGATTGACTGCAGCCTATCGTAGAATTGGTTTTTAGCGTCTTCATCGTAGTCGTTGGTCGGCGCATAGCATTGGATGATGTTCATTGTAATGCCCTCTCTCTTTGTTCTGAAGGAGGCTTTGATGATCCTCGGTCCATGAGATTCCCATCCAATAAGTGCATTTTGTGCTTGTTTGGATAGAATCAGTGGAATGCCTTGTCTATGTGGAGCGTTTTCATCTAAATGGCCGGAGTATAACAGAAGTTCTCCTGAAGACAGTCGTTGTTGTCCAACCTGCGTCCAATGTGTTTCGCTGATTCCAAGCACTTCCAGGTTGTATTTCCTCATTTCCGCAGAAATTTGGAAGACTCTGCCGGTCTCCCACATTGTCCGGACATTCCATGTACCTATAAAAATTGTCGCTCTGGTTGTAAGAAGGTGCATCGGCCTCATGACTTCCGAATGAACTCGGCTTTCATCATGAGACGTCCTAATTATTCCTTCAACTCGGAGGGCAGAGTTTGAATGATTTTTTCTGGTTAGCGTTTTTTTAGCGAGTTGATTTTCTACGGATGGGGTCGCTAACCCCATGCCCAACTGATGTGTGGGCGAGAATGATAATGATTGGTTGTCTTGATGAGTCAGACATTAGACAGGATGACAGGTGTTATGTATATATATATTTCCCTATCCTTATTATGTATTGACACTTATTAACTTATTGACTGTTCCATGTGTCGGATTTTGGTGTGAAATATATTGACGTTATAGTCAGGCTAATATTGTGTTCTTGATCTGAGTTCTGTTGAAGTCCTGTAGAATAGACACTGGGTGGGAATCTAGTGAGATATTCGTCTAAGATAAATTAACGTCCCACATACGTGTAAGAAGTAAAAGGACTGTTATAACCAGAAACCCCTAAAGTTATAACCAGCATCCTCTCTCTCTCTCTACGTTTATAACACCAACCCTCCTCCTTTACCCGGGCTTGGGACCGGCAGTAGCCCCTGGAGGAGCTACAGGCGGAGTTCTTGGCTAAATTGAGTTGGCTCATATGCCTTCTTCGATCCGTTTCGCTTTGCTCTCCCTTCTTCATTTTGCCACTTATTCTGGATCTGTCTGCATAAACGAATTCCTGAAATAAATACCCCCAACGGCACCGGTATTTGGCTTCCTAGCACCGCCGTCATACAAATGGGGTAGCCTAGGTAATATACGGAGTTAAATGGGAGATTTATATTCATAAGTTCATTCAGATTGGAGACAGACCAGTCGACCAATCGATTTACATTTTAACATTCAACTGCACTCTGTGTGAAAATGTGTGTCAGTGTATTTTTAATTTCTTGTCAGGTAAATTGTAAGGAAACCGATTACCAACGATTGACTTTTTTCTTCGCACAATAATAATCATTATGATAGGAATAACAACAACATAAATAATTGACCAACTGATTCAGTCGTTATATGTAGGGAACTATGACAATCTCCTTTTCAAACATGTTTAGATTTATAAATAAGGTGGCGTAATGAACAAAATCGCAGGTGATGATAACCAAGCATATTTTAGCAAGACAATACAGAAAGTTTTGGTAAAATATAAGAACCATACACTGAATACTTCATTTGCAAATTTCCACCATATATCTTTCGCATTCTGTATGATTCTTCCAGTTCACATTTCCTTTCTAACTCCGTTTCTGTTTTCTTCTAGTCAACCCTCATAGCCTTCCGCTGCTAGGTTTCTCACTTCCGATTGGTGTTATATACCATTTATATAGACATACATAAGTAGTATATACCCCAATAGCATAATGATTAGTATATAAACGCAATCACTAGATGATCACATATGCATCATCATTAACACATAATTGCCTGTTTTCTTATTACTGTTTTCTCCAAATAGAGGAATAAAGTGAAACGACTTTTTTAAATTATTTAAACTGATTTTTGGTGAATTTCTAAGAAAAGCTTATTTGTGACATCCTTGTTTGATTGTAATTGGGCCATCCTCTCTCCCTATATTTGGTTAGTGTTTTAAATGTACTAATATTCTATCACATCAGTTAATTAAACGATAGTATCTGTAATGATCAAATAACTGATTGGTAAAATATCAGTGGGAAAAATAATCACATGACAGAGATATTTGGACAGATTTATACCCACGGAACTACGTGTGAAAACTCTAGCTAAATATTTATAGTAATTATTGACCAACTGACTAAATTTTGAGAAAAAATAAACAAAGCTGCTATTTTTGATGGATAAAGTTTCAAACAAAGTCAGTATACACACACCACACGGCAATTAATTACCTAGGTTTTATTGATTTTGTAAAAAAAATTCATTTTAAGGCCAACTGTCAGGTGAAGAAGAATTTGAATAAATGAATAGGACAAATATTGAGAACAACTAATTGAATTCACTGTTGAAGGAAAAAGGTTGTCAGTGAAGTCTTATAGCTCACTTCATTCTAAAGCTAGTGTTAGAAAGTCAATGAATGCTTCACGATTAAATTACCTAGCATAGTGAACGTAATTTCATTGAAATCATTCTATTGAGCTACAAGTCTTCCCCGTCACCTCAAGATTTAATATCATTTGGCAGTTATTCTTATCACTAAATGAAATGAACTTTAGATTCTTTAAAAATATCGTTGTATACAGATATTTTTATTTTAGTTCCGAAATCCTTAGGAGTGCATGTCTTTGTCGCAACTAGAAATAAAAAAAGGACTTTTAAATCAGGCTGTGAACATGAGCAAAATCGATTTCTATCTTATATAAGATTATAAATTCATTCAGTCAAGGAAAGTTAAATGAAGACTTAACATTTATCCGGTATTCACTGTTTTACAATGGTCCATGTTCAGAGTTAGGGTTTAAATGGGAGGTTGATTTTTATCCATGGTGATAAACAGTTACTCAAATAATTCTTTGAGTTCAAATCTCAAGAAATTTCAGGGTGAATTGGAAAATCCGCTAATCATGTTGAAATGGTAAATAGATTTTCATTCTGTTTACCTTCTGTTATTTTTCCCTAGAAATACCAATCACTTTCTTATCATCATTTTAAGAATCTTTTAAGTTCGTTATTATTGTTCATTCATATCAATTTTAATCGTCTTAATAACCGAATATTGATAGGTTTTCACTTAGTTCGTACAATGCTAGTCACTAAGTACAAGGTATGTATAAGATTATCTATGAGTTTTTAGTGCTCAACAGGTGTGTAATATCCAGCGTTGTCGGTAAATTCTCCGTTTATTTAGTGGGTGAGTGATACAGTTAAGAATGAATTTCACTGAAAGTTTCATGAATATAATAATCTAGCGCATCACAATATCATTGATGGAAAACACAAGTATAACGAAATTCAGGGCTTGAAATGAAGTCCCCAGTGAAAACTACACTATTATCGTAGCACTTACTCTTTCGATTTGCCGAAAAATGTATGAAAATGCTCGATACACATTTGCTTACTTATTTAGGTCTGTTACCCCTCATGGAGGAGCGTAAGCCACCTACCAGGGTTTTCCAGAAAACTCTGTCCTAAGGAATTCTTTACAGCTGTTCCCAATAATTATTTATCCTTTTGATGTCTAATCCAAATTCAAATCGGTATTTAAAAACAAATAATTTATTTGAATTCAGCAGCATTTTTTAAGCCGAAAGGTATGCGCAAAAACTCGTAGAGACCGAAAGGAGTGATGATAGCGGTTTTGGGAATCTCATCAGCAGCCATGGGAATTCGGTACTAAATCATAATTATCAAAGAAATATATAGTGTTTGACAATCAAATCAAATTTTCATTGTACTTATCCTATCATATTTTAATGTTGATTTTAGTAAATAGGATAACATGAGTCAATTACATGTGAAAAATAGATTGTAGTGACCTACTTTTCTCGACGAGAATGCGATTGGTATAATGGAAACAATTATTATAATAACCAATTGTACCAGTGATTGTTTTACTGTACTCGTTTTGTTTAACTGTATCAAAATCACTTTTCTTTCCGTCACCCATCTTGCTCGTTCGAACTTTCTTGTGCTCTTACTTTTTGCCTGTACCCTTTGGCACGTCTCAGTATTCTTTCGATAACACGAGATCGTCAATAAATACACCTTATCTGGATCAATTACAGCCTTTTGGTTTAAGACCTATCAAAGTAACCGAGTCGTTTTCTGGTGCGTAAATCTTATTGTAGTGGTGATCATAGTCAATCAAGACTCGATGCCATCTAGGAGATATAAATTAGAAATCTGTCAAATTTCAATGAGAAAAATATGAACAGTTTAATAATTCGTATCTTCTAATTCATTATATAAAATGAAATATTAAAAGGTTGGAGCTATTCTTATTTTAATGTATGAATCATATATATTAATATATAAACTAGTCAATAGTATGACGTCATACTATTTTGTTTATATCAGTTATGTTTCTGACTAAACAAACCGGATTTTTCTTACATTTCATGTGTTAATTTCTATTAGTTGTGATTCATTCAGATATTTTTTTATTTTCATGTAACAGAAAGGATGGCATATCTTAGGTTTTTTGAACATATTCCAAAAAGTCTTAGAACAAGAGGAAGAACGACTTTAAAAAACTGCAATTACCAAGTATGTCTTGGATACAGGATATCAGGTCGATACCTTGCAATTTATCAAGGTGATTAATTAACAGCTAAGCTTCAATCTTTTACAGCTTGCTAAAGGTAATTGCTTTTCACATTCTTCATATGAGCAGAAATATAACTTGTTACTCATGATTTGTTTGTTTTCATCCTCTCCTCCGTTTATCAGGACCACATAGTTGTCTCTCGAGTCCCATTCCGTCAAGTTTGAGTTTCAGATTCTTGCAGTGGGTGCATGTTTTGAAATGTCATTTAAACGATTCACTAGTTTTTTATGCTTTTAGACAGTCATTTGAAGGATAGATGTATGAATTACTTTCCTCTTCCGCATTTTTCGATCCACGGTCGTTTCCGTAGTTAAGATATATTTGTTTTAAATAAACGATTACAGTTTTCGTCTAGGCATTTTATCACCATTTCACGCTTTTCCACTATTCTGGGTCAGTATTTGCTGAATCTATTTAGTTTTATTTTCATCGAGTTATCTAACTATCCGTTCGATAGATATTCTTTCAGTGTCTCAAGACCCATCTGTAATAGGTTCAACAAAATTTTGTATGAGGTTTTTTGGTTTTTCGTTTATACCTAAGTACATTCCCAACTGTTTTGTACACAACACTATCCCTTTTAATTTCGTCTATTTACCACAAATTCAACCTGTTTTGGCTGACTTTCTCCTCTAGGTTTGGTAGTTTTATCTTATTAGTCCTTCTGTTGTCAAATTTCTTTTGTCACATACTCCCAATACTACTCATCCCATAGTATCTATTTTGATCGCATCTTTTTGAAGTAATACTATTGTTTCTAGTTCATGTGTTCGTGTGGGTATTACTACTGTTCAGACTATTTGATATGTGGCCTACTTATAAGTAAATATGCAGAAGCAAATTCAGAACACTACTTAGTAACAGCAATAGCAAAAATGAGAAATAGAAATGACAAGAAGCAAATGAAAAAGATTAAGAAAACGAAAAAAAACGAGTTTCAAATACAAAGAAGCTGGAAATTGAATCAAAAGATTATGAAACCGCTTAAATTAAGACCTTATAAGAAAACATTGACATAAAATAGATTAAGCACTTTATAACAAAATCAGTAAGGGAAAATTCCAAGCAAGTATCTAAACCTTTAAGTAAAGGTTGGAAAGAGAAAGTCAGTACACAGTTAAGATCAGAAATAAACGACAGAAAACTCATAGGGAGAAAGTAGTTAAATGACCCAACTGCAGAGAATAAAAGGACATACCAAATTAAGAAATGAGGTGAATAAAATAAAAGTAAAGATAAGGATGAATACATAGATTACAAATTGAGAGAACTAGGCCTATACTTCCAACAACATTATGAAGCATATATAGCACCAAAAGAAATACTACCTATATTAGTTGTGATGTGAACCGCAAAACAAGAAGCCTTAACAAATTACGGAAGCTATTTTTGGGGACGTTAATTCGTTTAATTCAAAGCTTGTAAAATTGTAACATTTACTTTTGTCCCTAGCCTATTCTACAGATCATAAGCTTTCGTTTGATGTATAATTCATTGCCATAGCATTTTCTGTTCTAAAGCTATTGTCATTTAGACGTAATCTTTTGTACCCTATTTTCTACTATAATTCCCCAGTTTTGGACATGATTGTATTTTTCTAATTATTGTACGTTGTGGTCCGCTTAGTCATCTATTTATTCATGTAACTTTTCACCCTAATCTGAATTGGGAATTCGAGTGCTAGATCGGGTTGGAATAAAGTGATTAGTGTTCCATCTGTCTTGTCTTCTCTCTCTCTCTCGTGCTTGCCAGCCAATCAGGGACAGAATAGTTTTCGTCTCTCTACCCCTATTTCGAACTCACGCATATTCGCCTCAAGGTTAAGCCAGTCAGTCTATCGTGTCAAGGTCTTAATCTACATTATACTCCGCACTAAGTGGGTAGACAGATTCAAGGACGTAACAAGTTGTTGCTCTGTTTGTTAGAGGGGACATCGGCTTCATGATTTCTGAGAAATATCGACTTTCACCATGAGGCGTCATAATCCTTTCTTCAACTCACTGAACAGAATTTAAATGGTTTAGTTTGTTTCTTCTGATTGGCGTTACTAAGCGAGGTTGTTTTCTATGGGTGCGGTTGCTGATTCCATGCCCAACACTCCTTCTTTATCAGTGCTTGTGACCGGCAGGAAACTTAGAAGAGCTACAGGCGGAGCCATTAGACTAACAATAAATGGCCTAATGCTTAAGCTGAAATCACCTTTATACCTTGTCATACTTTATATATAATTAAACACCAAGTTTTTTTTGTAGTCAACTTGTCATCTGCTTTATGTAATCTGTTTGAAAATCTACAGTATTAACTCCTAGTTTTGATTGTCAAATATCGTTATTAACTGTAATCGATTGCTTTCATTGTGAAATTGTGGTGATTGCATGAACTAACAATTCCTTTATACTTGATATCTGCCTGATTTGGAATTCCAAATACTATATGTTCATTTGTCCTCATCTAGTTCTATTTGGTCTAAATTGCGACATTTCTGGGATTCCTAGTTCGTATAGTAATTCATATACTTCTAATTATCACAGAAATATAAGTGTCGTTTATGTGTTTATGATACTGTCGGTACACATTTCCTCTTGTTTATCCCTATTACAAATTTTTTTCACACATACTCCTCTAAACACGTCCGCATCATAAAACGTACCTTTTGGTTGGACATAAAAATGCCATAGTATGAATATTATATTTCCACTATTAAATTTGCCATAAAATAACTTATCCATAATTATCTATGTCCACCAAATTTATTTAACGAATATCGTTGGTTTAACAATAGTCAATAAGACAAGAACTTTCAGCAGAATATCATAAATTCATTTTATTTCATTTGATTCTCGTTAGCTGCTTACAACTTGCGATATTTAAAAATCGTAATTACACAATGGGTCTAAATTACTTTCGTGAAAGAGTTCAGTTGGAAGTTACTTTGAAAAGACGCACCAGGGCTTGAGATCGGCAGTAGTCCTAGAAAAGCTACAGGCAGGTCAAGATAAACAATATAGCAGCAGCCTATGCATCAAGAGAATTCAACATACACAAGGGAAAGACAAACATCCTTAAATACAACACGGAGAAACTCTAGATGGAGAAGGATCTTTCACATACCTACATAGGTAACATCATCGATGAACGAAGAGGATCCGATGTAGATGTGAAAGCAAGGAATGGAAAAGCAAAAGCAACATTCATGCAGTTGAAAAACCCATACAACTCAAAACAACTGTATGCAAGTCAACATCAAAATCACAATCTTCAATACGAACATCAACACAGTTCTATTGTATGAAGATGAAACTTCAACAACTACCACAATCATCATCAAAAGTGTACAAGTATTTGTAAACAATTATCTACACATTATATTCAATGTCTGTTAACCAGATACCATCAGCAACATTCCACTGTGAAAGAGAACAAACAAACTGTCGTCTGAAGAGGAAATTAGGAAAAGATATCGGAAGTGGTGGATGGTACATACATTGAGGAAATCATCAAACGGCATCTTGAAACAGATGCATACTTGTAATCCTGATGGGAAACGGAAAAATGTAAGTTCAGAGAACACACTGCGTCTAGAATTGGAAGCGGAAATGAAAAGGATGAATATGAACTGGAAAAAGCTGTATAGGGTTGTCGATGAGAGAGTTGGATGTAGAATGTTGGTGGTGGTCTTATGCTCTTCGACGACTGGTAACATGCGTAAGTAGGTAAGCACGTAAGTAAGTAAGTAAGTACTACGTAGATACTCATTCAGTTGGATGCTGCTTAAAACTTTTAAATGACGTATACAATTTTTAAAAATCTTTAAGCTTTATTATTATCAGATTTAATCTATAACGTTTTCTACAACATTTTATTTTCTTACCATCTTTCTTAAAGTTTATTATTTAATTCAACTGTAGTTTTCTCGTCTATATTTATTTAATAATATTACAAAATTCCATCTTTGCGTAGGTGGTACATTATATATGCAAAATTATTCTAACTTATATATAAATGAATATTATTGATCGAAAAACTTAACATTTATAAAGAAAACAAAATTATCATAGTAACGTATTAGTTTCCAAAATATATATGAAAAACAATATCACTATTAAAAATAAATAGATATTCACATTTCTATTAAACAGATAGTTGTTTCTTATCGATTAGTTAATCTATTCAGATAAGGTAAATTCAAAAGGTTAATGAAATGAAACTTAGAAATAGTTATTTAGTTTTGAGATGGTGGAGAAGATTTATAGCTCAGGTGGGTGATTTTGATGTAGGTTTGTTCTTTGAGCTGGATGGTAGAAGTTTGTGATGATGATGTCGTTCAGAAGGACGATGAAAGCTCCACGACCAAACCATCCAGCTCAAAGAACAAACCTACATCAAAAAGTTATTTAGTTTGCTTATGGAAGAATTGTAAAATTAACTAATTAATTAGTAATTTTAATAGTTGAGATCATGAATCAATTGAAGCTAGACTATTATATCCTAGCGAAGACATAAGTACGAGTAACTTCCGGGTACTATTAATGGACCATTAATCTATATATATTCTTATTGTTTAATTATTGAGTAATTAGATTGTGTATATCGATATTCATCTTATTATAAGCTTCATTTTGACTTATTGATTATTATTATACGATTTACTGTCCTCAAATTATATTCAGTTAATTGATTATTGTATCCCACGTTCACAGCCACATTTGGCTTGATGTTGTACAAACATTATTTTCTATTTCATGGTGTTGGTGCGGTCTATATGTCTGGTATATAAACCGAGTATGTTTGAAATAAACGATTCGCATAAGAGAAGCTGTAATTGGTGTTCTGGACTCAATTGGAAGGGCTAGGCAGACAAGGGACTAATAAAGACGCTAGACTGCTCATGCCAGCTGAACGTCATTGATTGGCACAGTATTACGATTAGAAAAGTCGTATTTCGATTGGTGGATAAATCACGTGATAAAAGCTGGACATAAAATCGTAACAAATTGGTATACGGTCTTCTTTTTTTAATCTTTTTAAATTCATAACATAGACCACCATGGAAAACCTGGAAGCACTGAACGGCCGTTTCGTCCTATTATAGGACTCCTCAGCAGTGCGCATCCAAGTTTTCCATAGTGGTCTAGCTTCAATTGACTCATAATCTCAACTATTGAAATTACTATAATATTAAAAAAACCCTTCTGATATTAATTAATTAGTGTTAAACAAGATAACTACCATTTACTAAACTCTACATCATACAATTTATTTAAATTACTTTTTAACCTTTAATAATTCATGATAATTTTTTTCAAGATTTTCTTATTATTACTTGCAATTAATCTCAGAATTTTTTTCCCTTGAATATATCGAAATATTCAAGCAGTTTTTTTTAATAAACAG